TATCTTTATTATTGTCATCATAATTTTTTCCTTCAAAATATATTCTTTTTTACAGATTATGTCACTATTACCGCCTATTTATTTCTCGAGTGTAGTATCATATAGCTTTCATCATGATCAATGTTATTATCGAAAAATCATTGTTATAATTTTTTCACAATACTTTCATTATCATAATAGTGATTATCATCGATGTCATCATCACTATCATCATTATTATTCCTTTCCAACGTACTTCTATAAATACAGATTACCTTATCACTAATATCATCCTTCCACGCTTAATCTTCATCACTAATTACACTCATTAATCATCACAAAAAAAGACATAGGCCTATTCAATACGAAAAGACGCAATTACCATAAAATTAACACGTAACATGAATATTTCCCCAAATGAACATCGAAATTAATGTGTTCTAAATAATAACATGTATATTGATGTGTTTTTTCGTGGTGATGGAGTGACAAGGGTGTCTGTTTTGCTATGGTAATCATATCATTGTTGATGTGAGTATTACGGGTTTTATTTATTTTTATTTTTGTAGCTGATATTTTTGTTTTTATTGTGTGTCATCGTCATCATCAGCAGTATCGTCTATGTTATTATTATCCTTATCATCATTTTGTAAATATTATTATCATCACTATTTTCATTATCATTATAATCGTCATGATTATCATTATCATTATAATCGTCATGATTATCATTATCATTATCTTCATCATTATGATTATTATCATTATTCTATTTTATATCATTATCATTATCTATCCGCTGCAGGTTAAGAATTTAAGTCCCACCACCATATTGTGAATTTCTCATATGCAAAATAAAATACACTTTTACTAAATTACTGTTGCCAATATGTCGGGGATATTTTTGAAATAGGAAAAAGTACAAAATCCTTTCAAAATTTCTATCCCTAACCATAATCCTTAAACTGAATTAATTTTCCTAAAAGTACTCAGTGCGCACCAACCATGAGCAAAGAAAACCCCAAGAAAATAATTTTCACTTACCTAATGTGGGTATCATGACCTAACAGCTCATGGGGTGGATTGAATTTATGCCTTTTCAGTGTGTGTACTAAATCTAGAATGGTTATGGAAACAGTTTAACCAATTCCTTCATTCTATAAACAAATAATATATGTGGCCTATTACAATGTAAATCTTAATAAACATTACAATAAAAACAATAAACTTTCACTTTTACTAATTCAATAATTCTTAAGTTAACTACTTTAACCCCTTTACCTCTAATTATAAATTAATAATCAGTACGAAGAACATTATATAAACAAACGTAAGACAGGATCGAAACCTCTACTCCCTGATATTTCTCGTTATTACCTGGACGAAAAACTGATCGATCCTTCCCTTCTAACTTTCATAATTTTCCTATATTGCATTTTTCTCTGGTCTAATGTTCCTCTTGCTGTCCATTACTTGGCCTAATCGGAATTGTCTCCTTCGACTAATTCTGTTCCTGCATCCACGGGCCCTATAAAGATAATAAAAAACATATATATTTCCTAACAAAAATGGCGTCATGGTGTGAGGTGTCTTCTCAGGAGAAAGGCTAGATCAGTAGCAACTCGAGGTGTCTGGCGTCTGTTTTGATGACTGTTATATGAAAAATATAACCATTAAAAACATTATTTTCTATCCTTTTTGAAAACTGAAGAGACCAAAATGATCGACCAAATTCACAAAGCACCCAGAACTTTTGTGACGTCATCATAATAAACCCATGTGCTTTTTTCCAAAAATAGAATCAGACACTATGACACCTCCTCGAATTGCTTCTGATCTAGCCTTTCCCGTCTTCTCAGTTTCCACATTTCTTTCTCTCTGATAAGATAATAAAAGTGCTTATTTTTTCACTCCCATTGCATTGTGAATATGTAAACAAACAAAC